TGGCAAAATACTCACTTGAGAAAACAAAGACACCCCCCCCACAGCTCCCCCCCACAGCATGCCTGAAATGTTTTCAAAGCCCATTTCTGCTTAAGGGAGTTTTCCGCCCCCCAAAGGGTGACTATTTTTCCCATCAAATTGCTCTCATTTTCCATTCTCTACCATCAATCCTGGGTAATCAAAAAATGGGATACCCACAGTGAGTTCCAGCAGAGTTTGGATGCTGAGCAATCAGGACTCTCGCACTTGGAAACGGATTCTTTTATTTTTACTTTTAAGGTAAAGCAGAGTTGCATGGCAAAGTCATGGAAGTGGATTATTCAGTCCCCAAAAAACTAAGGTAAAATATTTGTTCTTCCTGTTACTACAATTTATTAGTAAGCTGGAGAAAAAGAGGCAGAGAAAAATTGCATCACTGAAGTTTAAGCTGCAGTGATGAACATACTTTAGTAGTTACATTTTTGCTTTTGTTGTCTGAGGGTTGTTTTTCTTTCTTTCTTGGAAATCATGAGTGTTTCCTCCTGTATCAGTGTGGTTGTGATATACAGCTTTCTATAAACCTAATTGTTCCTTTTAAAAGTCAAGATGCTGTAACACAAACTTTCCTGTTGGGTTTAAAAAACCTTTTTAGGGATTCTCAACTGAGACCCTAATTGATTTTCCACAGGGATGAGGAGCAAGATTTTAAGTCATATAAGCTTTTCAGTGCCAGTCAGCCAGAAGTAAAGATATGACCAGGTACAGAGATAGGCAACCTCTTGTTCTCATGTTCTGAATAAAATAAATATAAAAACAACTATGGCTGAAGATGATGGTAATTGTAATTCAGCATATCTTGGGGAAGTTGTGCTCAGAACTACTTGATTGGTTCCATGCCTCAACTATCTGGGAACCTTTGTTGCTAAAAGCTTCTTTTACGTGACCTGTATAAACCATGTCTTATTTGAGTAGTAATCAGTGGCAGAGATGTGAGTTACGTGGGGTGATAGTGCTGTTTTCTAATTTGCTGTTCTGGTTTTGCTATATTCTGTGTTGGCATGCTTGTTTTCACTATTCTAAGTAAAGCATATTAAAAAAAAAAGTGTTTTCAATTAGAAGGCAGAGAAATTGTAATGTTTTTAAAGTATAGTTTTCTAATGTATTTTATTGATATTGCTAGATAAACAACTGTTGCTTTATCATCACAGCTGTCTACACAGTTTTGAAATGCTTTCAAATTCAAAAGTTCTGCTCCAGTGTATTTCCAAATTTCTGAAACAGTGGGGTGGATGAACAGTGTTATTGGTCTTTTTATTTCTTTTAATTGTGTGTGTATATTTTTTAAAATTGTAGGTTTTGTACCAGTCCCTCTGTGGCAAATTGGAAAACTGGCTATACCATTATTGCTCAGGAAAACTCTGCCTTTATACATGCTTTGTAATGAAATCAGTACAGTTTCTTTGCATCTGGGAATATCTAATGATTTCCCATTTTCTGAAGATCTTAGCGGATTCTTCATTCCCTTAGAGGACACCATGCATTCCAACAATATTTTTGAAGTTCTGTTTGAGAAAAGGTTTCAAAGTGTTTAAAAACTGAACATTAAAATTTAAATTCCAAAAAAAAAGTGGAATGCATGAATATGGTTTTTAAAGAAAATTTTAAATCTAAATATAGTACAAAAAGTTGATTTCTGCAATACTTGTGTAAATATGAGGGGGGGGTTGTTTCAAAGTGTAATTGTCAAGTCATGAGCATATAATTTGTGTGATGTGATTCAGAACTTATCTGTTCATCAGTGTGGCATTTCTTAAATATGTTGAATCTATTCGAACTTTTGTGTGAAAATCCTCACTCCTGTGTCCCATGATATGTTCCTAGCCTTTGTAATTACTTTCGTGAAGGAAGTTCAAAAAGTTAAGGTAGTTTTATGCACACTGACACAAAAGTAAATTTCACTGTATTTACTAGAACTGACCTTTAGGCAAGCATGAACTGGGTTTTAGAAGTAGTTGAAACATTTATTATTATTTTTGAATGCCGAAATAACATGTTTGATGCTATGTGGTCAGATCATAGCATTTGCTGTGTTAGGAATTTAATGTGCCAGGATTTATATTTTGTGTACAATACGATAGAATATGGTTGCATGTAGCTAATTTGGTGCAAATGTTTTGAATTATATGATTAGAAATATTGCATCCAATTACGTGAATATTTTTCTGCACTAGCATGTGCTTAAACATGGTACAGTACAAAAATATCATGAAAAATAGAGAATCATAAAGTCATAGTTATTATTACATTAATTGTTCCAGTCAAAATAGTTTGCTGTTGATCTGTTTGGGAAAAAATGTTGATGCTATGGTGGGGGAAAGAAATTAATGATTTTGTCTTGTTTTATGTCCTTTATGTGGTGTCATAATTCATTCTCATCAGTTGTCCCAAAATTGTAATCATTTTCAATTACTTTGTTTTTAATTACTCCACTCAGAATTATTGTCTTCCATATAAACATGTAGTTATAGTGGTGGTGTCTTTGTCTAAACTTAAGAAAATTACTTTTTTTTTTTCATGCTTCAAAACTATAGAATAGGATCTATATCTTTCAGTAGGAACACTATCATGCTTTTGAGGTTAGTTGGAAATTCAGAAGTCCTTGAAGTTTGCCTTAAAGTTTATTAAGTGCTGAAAATCCAAACCAGCATCCTTTGCTTAAGACATTTTTAGATGAATTTTTTTTATGGAATTGATTGCAAGGCAACTATTTTGATCAGATGCAAATATTGTCAAATTTAACTAGGTTAGAAATATATTCTTAAATAATAGATTACTTTCATACTGTGAAAGTCCATATAAATTAATGGTTTTGAACAAATAGATGAATTTTGTAATCAGGGATTATTTTAACATTGCTAGTATTTGGCTAGCTATGGCATGACAGTGTAAAGTTTACAATTTTGTGTATTCAGCTTGATTATTTAAAATATGACTTGAGAAAGTTTTGAAATAAAAGTGATATGTATTGCAGTGCTGTCTGAAAATCATTTGAGATACCATAGTCTGTAATTAAATGCCCACACACAAAGTGCACACTGAAAACTAAAATCCTACTTAATTTTTCATGAACCTGAAATATTCAACAGTTTTGTTTAGATATATATTCCATTAAAACAGAAACTAACAGGTATCTTATAGGCAAACATATGTATTGGATACAAGACAGTTTTGAGCTAGAGTACATTCAGGCAGATTATCTGTCAAAGTATATGGATTTTGATCAGCATAGCTTATTTCACAAGACAGTACCATAGCTAGTCTTTAGATGTTACAGGATCCTATGTTCACACTTCCCCCACAGCTGCCCTCTGCAATTAAAATCAATGTTGCGTAGTTCCCATTTAACACATGTAGGATCTACAAGTCAGTATAATGTACAGATATGTATTATATTAAATGAATTATGAAGGGAAGTCCTATGCTGTATCATTTTTACTGGCATTGTAGGTATGAATTCAGTTTGAATGTTCACTTTCCTATTTTTTTCTTAACTTTGGCATTGCTTTTTTATAAGAATCAGCGAAGCTTTGAAAATGGTGACAGCCACATGGCAATAATGGGGGTAGGGTCAAACAGCCAGAGGTAGTTGGAGACCAAAGACCATATCATTCACAAATTAAAAATCACAAATTTTCTGTCTTGTAGTTTGAACAATAATTTAGAAAAATATATTCATGTTTTTGTCTTCTGTATATATTACATTGTGGAGAAGGCAAGTAGCATAAATCAATTCTCAATATTTGTAGATATCTGTAGTAGAACATTTCATTAGGTGAAGAAATAATTTATTCAGTAACTTTATGGATTAAAATCTGTGTATGTAGAATAATTATTGGAATGGGACAAACTGTACAACTGTATTGTGCTACTAATTTTGATTTTACTCTCACACTTTTCATGGAAATTTTAGTAATATATCCTGAATTCCTACAGGATGCAATTAAAAGGGTTTTTTGTAGAAACTAAAATGTATGTATTTTAAAAAGACTTTCAAACTTGAAAAATACCGCAAAATATAAGAAATAACTGGTACAACATGTAAAAACTTAATGATTTATTTGTAAAATAATATCAAAAATAAGATAATGGGTTTATAGTCCCTGTCCTAAGAAGCCATCAGATATAATTGAATAAAGTATTTGAAAGAGATTTAGCCATATTTGGTTTCTAGTTAATTTGTATGAAAGGGAAAGAACCTAAAAGCAATTATAAAAGAAAATA